CCTAATGAGATTAGGAGAAAGCTAATCTAATCTGCAGATAAGATAAGGGTTTATCCCTATCACCTAAAGAGAGRTCTTATCCAAATATGATTTGGATAAGCAGCTCCTAATTGGATTAGGAGCTGATCTTTTAGGTTAACAAAAGAAGGAGGGGGCGACAGCCTTTAGAAGACACTCAATTAGATTTCCTTCAGTGCTGAAATCACAAGAAGAGAGAATTCTGCACCCTGCGAATACTCTCTTGCCGCCTCCCTGTTCTTGCCGGCCTGTTTGCCAGTTCGATCTCCAGTTGTGGGAGAAGTCAAGATTTGATTTTGACATCAGTTCTTTGAGAAAAAATTGATAGGAAGCTGTGCTCATGTGCCATCCTGCTGATTCTTGCGAAGGACAGAGTTCTTGGAGAAGAACACTGCTGATTTTGCTCCATCCTGCACTGCGCCATCTTCAATGGGAGCAGTCTTTGGATCCTTCCTTGGGCGTGAACACCTTCATTGGGGGATATTTTTTCTCCGGATCAGGTATAATCCTTCCCACTCCTTTTGGTTCAGATCTGGTTCCGTTTATGGTTCAAGAATGATCCTTGAAAATATGATTTTCTAAATAGGGAATGTGATTCCTAGTTGAAGGGAGAGAAAATTTTTTGAAATTCGCCCCCTTATTCCGCAATCTTTGGGCGTCCATGGGATGGATCACTCATCCCTTCAGTTCACTCAGTTCCAAATGGAAATCCATATCTTCCAGTCGGACAATGCAAAGGAATATTTCCATAGTGATCTCACGGAGTTTTTCGCTTCGAGTAGATCACTTCAGCGAAGCTCTTGTGCCAGGACACCCCAACAAAATGGTGTGGCTGAACAGAAGAACCGCCACCTTCTTGAAGTAGCTTGTGGCTTATTAATTCATATGAATGTGCCAAAACGGTTTTGGATGGATGCAGTCTTGTGTGCTACATATATCATCAACCGCATGCCCTCTCGGCTACTAGATTATAAGGCCCCACATCAGGTTTTGTTCCCTACAGCCCCGTTGTCCACCATTCCGATGCGTGTTTTTGGGTGTTGTTGTTTTGTCCATAACCTGTCCCCTACTCRYGGTAAGCTTGATCCTCGGGCTATTCCTTGTGTTTTTCTTGGTTACCCTTTATCTCAAAAGGGATATCGCTGCTATGATCCCACCTCTCGCAAGTACTATGTCTCTATTGATGTATCATTCTTTGAGAATCAACCTTTTTTCTCGGTTTCTCCTCAGGGGGAGAGTAGGGTTGAGGAGAAATAGGCGACTCAAACTCAATTACCTCCTTTACCCGATCCTCCTCCATTTCGGGTTTTTCATCGTCGCCATAAAAGCCAGCAAAGTTCAAGAACCATGGAACCTGACACTATGCAACCAACATCATCGGATTCACCCGAGGCAGATCCGTCTCATCAGCCAGGTACACTTGCTCCTGTTGATATGTTTGTTCCTCTAAATGTTGATTAACCTGTCATCAATGATCTTAATATTCCTATTGCTAAGAGAAAGGGTGTTAGGTCTTGTACCACTAATCATCCTATCTCTAATTTTGTGTCCTATGATCATGTTTCACCTTCATACCGTGCCTTCCTCTTTTCTGTGGACAGTGTCCCCGTTCC